CTGAGGTACAGCTTAATGCCTTGTATACGCAGCCGCCAGGCTTCAGTCAGCGCCCTTTTCCTTGTTCTGCTCTTTATTTAGGATACCTGCGCGTGCCAAATGCCACCTCCAGGATGAGCACCTGTTTGCGCCTGGCTTGGCCTTACGTTTCATAAGAAAACTATAATTTCTGTTAACCTAGCCGTTCAAGTGACATTAAAACTCACAGGCTCAATGCAAGTGAGAACGTCGACCATAAAACCCGATTTTTTTTTTAGCGTTAATAGCACTGCAGAGAAAGTAAATAGGAGGATGTTTCTCTGTGCGGTGAAGCTGCAGGTAGCGATGTCAGCACAGGGACAAATTTTTAAATGGCAGGGGGACTGATCTCAAACCGCTTGTGTAAAGTCATTCTGAACTCATAGAGGCGCCATTATTCATGGAGGAACAGCACTTCGGAGCTCAAAATGACACATTAGGTCTAAAAATGTGTTCCAGAGAATGGAAATCAGTATTAGCAACAGGATTCAACCTCAAAAATACATGAAAACACACCAAGACCACATGAACACGATTAGTGAGAGACTGTTGACAGGGTGAGAGAAATACTGCTTTAAATGGCATTCAAATATATTGTGGAGCTTAGTGCAAGGTGTTGTTAGAAAAACACAAATCGTTTAAGGAAAATATTTAAGTAAACTGATAATGGAAAGGTCTGTCAGCAACTGTTACCCCTCTGGTTCCATTACAGCCTGTGTTTTAGGCTTGCAAGCTCCCTCTTTCTGTAGTTGAGGTAAATCCAAAGAGCTCTGCTTGGATCTCTTTTGGCTTTATTTGTACAGTGGACACACATGTGAGTTCACCCTCATCCAAATAATGATGTGTCAAATGTATTTTCAGTTTTTTAAATATGTGGTAAAGCACAGAGTCCAGTCCAGAGCATGCATGCAACACGAGCAGATTCATCATTTAGCACCTTTTTTCACATTGTCAGAGACCAATGCCACACCTGTACCTTGTTACTACTCTATCTATATATGCCCACCTTTCTTGCAAGCATTTTCAACATCAAAGATTTAATGGATAAAGCAGACCCTTATGCCACAAAGACCAAAGTTCACGCCTGCAGTGGCTGTTAAACACGATGGTCCGGATGCAGGTTTGAGTGGGGAAGTCGTACTACTGAGTGCTGGAGAAGCACAGAAATGTTGGGGAGGTTCCTCTGGAAAGTCTCTCGTTCCGCTCTACCGAAAGCAGTCACTAGTGGTGGCTACAACATGCATCAACACACACTGGCAGCCTTTTCCCTCCCACGCACTGTGGCAGTTCTTGCACAAACACCGTCAGATGCTTTATTAATAGTCACAGTATTGCTCAAAATCACCTGAGCAGTGTGCATTCTAGCCCTTTAGCAAAACTAGTCTATGCCCAAATGTGGATAAATTGGTTTTATGTTGAGTTGTTAGTGCTGTTTTTGTTCTTTAGGAGAACTGTGGCAAGCCAGAGGTGATTTCGAGCACCATAAGTCTGTCTCTGTACCATCAGACTAAACACATTATGATTCTGACATGATTACTTTAACAGATGAGAGTACACTACAGGTTTTTTATTCATGGATAGCTTTAAAATGATCTAAAACTATGGAAAAATGAGGCATGCTTTAAATGGTTTTAAACAAAGCTATATAAAAAAAAAGAGCATTGACTAGAGCCTCTCTAATAAGTCATTAAGTTCGGGGGGGAAGGGATAGAAGGGAATTGTGAATGCCAGGTACCAACCCACACAGTTTTCTGCGTGACTGTAGAATTCAGCATACCAAGGAGCAATGCCAGTTTTTTTTCCTGGAAGACCAGAGTTGTTTATCACCAATTCAGCACACTTTTGCCCCAGTAAATGGGAACAATGTAATAAGAGGAGACCAGCTATTATCGAAAGTTTTTTACAGTTTTAAGTCAGAGCTGAAAACCAAAATCATCAACCCAAAACTCTATTTCTTATCTCAGGATAAGAACTTTCAGCACCGAAAGACCACTACAATTATGGTTATCTCTACAGCTAAGGTCTCTACATATCTAACTGCATCCTGCAAACAGTCTAGCTAGTGACTTAGCAGTAATGTTTGTCACAGATACAAACTTACATTGGAAGGTTTGTTTCTTTCCAGTATAACAGGAGGTTTCGCTGACTCCTAGAATGAAGCAACTGTCTTACAGAAGTGTTTCCTGCAATACCTGACCAACACAGCATTAATTTTATGGAATGCTTTCATGCCATTTTTTCTTGTTTTCCAAAGCAAAATTAATTCCTGACAATTTTTTTTTAACCTTAAATAAGATGTTAATACAACTTATCTTCCATAATGCCTTAAAAGTTCTTTGCCACTTAATTGATTTCTATGTTTGAAGTAGAGGAGAGTGTTTTAGTCAAAAACTAATGAATTCTTGTTTTACGGTTTATTTAGCTTCAGACAGGAAGACAAATTGCTAATTAGGTATACTGTGGAAATTATTGAAAGTGGCAATTTATATTTAATTTGTTTGTTTACTTCTTTTGCGCAGTGTTGGTTGTTCTAAGCCATTCCTATCACAGGGAAGTGGCAATACAAGAAAAAATGACAGGAAATTGCGAACAGAGCTCCCGCTGCCGTTCTGTTAGGTAACAAACTTTCATTTGTGATTTTTTTAATGAAGTTTTAAAATGCTTTAGCGTATCATGCTTTTGTGTGTATAAACCACAGCTGAATAAGTAAGATTTGAGCAAAAGTAATGGCTAATCAGTGTCAGCTCATGCTCTTAGTGTGTGTAAATTTAAGAACAATTGTGCAACTCAATGGCATTAAATGTTCTCTATAACAATTATACAATATAACCCCATTTTCTACTTTGCTTTTCGTAATAGTCATAACGATTTCTGCACAGCAAAACCAAAGAAAAGTTAATCACAACTATAAGGGGTATTGAAAAACATATGAAAATAGTTTAAGATTTCTGCACAGCAAAACCAAAGAAAACTATAAGGGGTATTGAAAAACATATTAAAATAGTTTATATGTGGTTTAATAATTTCCTCATTGACTAAAGTGTTTACCTAAAGAACTCAAAGAACCCTGTGAATTTTTAAAATCATCTTGTTATAGCATATATTTGAGGAAATGAAATTTCTACTGCTCTTTACAAACATGCTTTCCTAACAAACATAAATAACGACCTAGTGGATCAAAAAGTTGCTCCTGAAGTAATGTCATTTCACCTGGAAAAGAACCCCAGCAAGCTACATCTGTGTCATATATCCTATTTCAGTAAAACCTACATGGATTTAAAAAAAAAAAAAAAAAAAGAGGAAAATGGAACAGAATTACTGTGAAGGCAGCAGTTTTAATAGACATTTTATCAACTGTATGTGTGGTTACTTTAAGTACTGAGATATTACTTGAAAATAAAGATACATATTTTTGCACCTGTATTACCAGGCAATCCTTTGTTAGTCTTCCTGAGCCTCCCTTGCAGATAGGATGCCACTTAAAAATGACATTAATGCAGCTCTGTCTGTTGGTAGGCACCATTCCTTGTGTGATCTCAATGAAAAAGGTAAACAGTCCAAAATGGGGGGGAGAACAACTACCCCCCGGAAGCGCTCATACATGATTACATGATGTATGAGTTCTGTATCTAGAAGAACAGATACAGGACAAACAGAAATTTTGGTATTTGCTTACCATTCATTGAATACACAGATAATGTTCATTCACCTCAGGG